TGGGTTAGCTCCCCGGCCAGGGATCAGGCCATAGTAGTGATAGTGCTGAGATTTAACCCCTAGGCCACCAGGGAGGCCCCTTTCCACTATTTTAAATTAAGTAAAATTTTAAACTAAGTTAATTTACATGGGGTCATAATTATAAAACAAGTAGAAAAAGCATTAAAATCAATGCAAAATATAAAAGGCACACATGAATGAATATATATGGAAAAAACTATAGCCACAAGCAATTATACATATAATTAAAATGGATTTATTGCTATTGGTTTTGATTTTTTTTCCTTTCCTGTTGTCGAATCATTACAGGGATCCCTTGAGTTCAATTATAATTACACACATACACATTATGTTTCACATATAGATAATATATATATAGTTTTTAAAACTAAACAATTTAATAGTATATATGCAAATTTAAATGTGCAAAATACAGGTAATTAAAATTATGATTCCCTTAGCGACATTAACATACGGTTAATTAAGAATCACTGCATTCATTGTATGTTAAATTTATATCACAATTCATGTCTCTGGCAAAGTGGATTTATGATCTTTGTGTGAATTCTTTAAATTCTAAAAATTTTATACTTATGTTCCTAGTATTAGGCATAAATGTCTAAGCTTAATACTTTCCTTCTATATTTAAAGACTTCCTTCGTGAGTGGCAAATGGGTTCCTGTCCAAGGTCCCCTGCTAAGCAAAGTAGCCCCAAATGACTGCAGATCTGTAAGTGGCTAGAGTGACACCTCATCACTGTGTCCTTGGCCACAGTGGAGGTAAAAGGCGGTGGTCACCCTACCTAGTTGTCCCCAATGGATAGATTTGTCAAAGGCCGAAGTGGTGATGAGGATTGAGGGATTTACATTAAAAAAGAGTGTGTAACTTGTTAGAATAATCATATCCTCTCAAGTGATTTTAAATGTGAATGTCAGAAGAAACAGAGCAGTTGCAAGATGGAACAAAAAATGAAAATGAAGCTAAAGCTTGTCAGCAGGGGACGCTGCATTGACAGGCAGAGTCTGGTCTGTGAAGTGGCTGCAAGATCCCAAACAACCTTCCAGGTAGTCTCTGTTGTGGTTGACTCCTGCCCCTTCCAAAGATGTGTTGAAGTCCTATCTTATGTGATGGTGACCTTTTTTAGTGGTAGGGTCTTTGCCAATGACATCAAGTTAACATGCCATCACCAGGGTGGGTGCCAATTCAATGTGATGGGTGTCCCCAAAAGAAGAGAGCGGGAAGAGCACGTGAAGCCACAGATGCACAAAGGCAGAACGCCATGTGACAGTGGAGGCAGACATTGAAATGCAGCAGCTAAAAGCTAAGAAGCACCAAGCATTGCCAGCAAACAACCAGAATCTAGGAAGGAGAAAGGAAGAATCCTCCCTTGCGATTTCCAGAGGGAGCAGGGCCGCTGCCACCTTGATGTCTGACTTCTAATCTCCAGAACCATGATATATTTCTGCTGTGTTCAGCCACTCAATTTGTGGTACTTTGTTAGGTAGCCCCAGGAAAGGAATCCATCTCTGCAAGTCATCTCAGCCAACTTGCCTGTTCTCTCTGGAGGGCTGCTTGCAGAGCTCGCCTCTGGATTCCAGTGTCGTCTCTCAGCTCCATAGTCTCCCAACATTCAGCTAATAGGAACGAATGAACTGACTATATCCTTGCAACTAAAACATCGGCATCAATTGGAAACAGGAGTGGGGCGGTAGGAAAGGCAGCTCCCTGGATGTGAAGAACACGTGGTATAGTTAAGGTGATGTGGGAGGGTGATGGGCAATGAGAATTCCTTCCAGATCATCTATGAAGTTCTGGGGACTGCACTTTGTGACCATAGAAGAATTAATTAAGCCATAACCTGTTGTCTCTGGATTTAGATCACGTATCTACCAAAGGCAAGTTTTTGAGGGCTTTTATTTTGCTAGAGATTAGTTATAGGGCTTGTAGAATGGTCTGTTGAATTCCTGATTAGTTCATATCCTCATGTAAAGATTTAGGGCATAATTGGCAGAGTTTGAAATCCAAATGATGAAAAAATCTGAGAAATAAGAGAGGTTAAGTGATTTTCTGAAGGTCACCCCATTTTTACGTTATGAGCATTTTACAGCAATTAAAAATAATGAAAAATAAATAAAAGCACCCAGCCTATTATGAGCCATGCAAAAATAGTAAAGAAAAAGTTCATTATTTGAAATGAAAAAGGATGTAATGAGGATTATATGTGCGAACATTTAAGGCTGAAGTTGGAACAAGATCTGTGCCCAAGGCCTCATATTCTCGACAGAATGTGATCTGTTGGGCCAATGAAGGACTTGTCCCTACAGAAGCTTTAGTATTTTAATATTAGTGTTTTGCTAAAATGTCCCACTAGAGAATGGGATAAAAATTCAGCATAACCTAATCTTTATGATCTTTATAGAGTGGCTCAAAAAGTAGAGAGTATTTTACTGACTCTAATACTTTGGAAATATTAATGATATCTATGGGGTACATGAAATTATAACAGACATAAGGGGCCGATGACCCAGTAGTTATTTGATTTTTTAACACTTTGCTAAAAGAACTCATATAATTCATTCTGTAGTGTTTACCTCCAATTTACATATTTTCTAAAAAGGTGAATCTGGTGTTCCTAGATTATATATCCCTGGTGCCGGCACGTCCTTGGAGAGAGAATTCAAAGATGGAAACCCTGAGTGTAGTTACATAAGGTCTTTTCCCATTCTCTGAATGATTTAATATCAACTGGACCTACATTTATTTCATGTGTAGGGAGAAGGGAAGAGGAAGGATCCTTTGGTTTTCTTTTGGCAGATTAAAAATCACACTGGTCTTTAACCTTCATAGCAAACAAACAGGCAGACACATTCTCACACTAAAGGTGCTTCTGCCTCTGGGCATCTTCCAACATTATGCAGAGGTTAGCCCCAATCTAGAGAAGTTTTTCAATCTCCACCAAAAACGACAGGAATATGGGGCCTCCCTGGTGGCGCAGCAGGTTGAGCACAGCGCTGTGAAGCTGTCCGCAGCCTCTACAGCGCAGGTTGGATTCCTGGCTAGCCAGGAAGTTTCCCACATGGCGCGGCAGACCTCTCCTGTCTCACCCGCTGGCCCCTCAGCAGTGTTTTCAGTCCCTCTGCCTGTTCTTCTCCCGGCACTGTCTATGGTGGGTCCTCTCATCCTCCTACATCTCTGGCCTGTACCCCACCTCTTGTATGCATAAATAAATAAATCTTAAAAAAAAAAGCCAAAAAGATATGAACATTTGGAACATGCCAGCTGGTCAAGGATAGGCAAGAGAGGGAAAAAAAGAGAGACAGGCATTTTCAAAGTTCATATCTCTTCTGATATTTTCAGTCTCACTGAGATAGAGAGAGGACAATCTCCACATCACAGGCATGAAGATGTTTCCCCTACAACGACAGCACTCAGTGACAGAGTCTGATTCAATGGGTCGCTGAAGCGGGTGCTTTTTCTAGTACCTCACCTAGCCTCTCATAGAAATAATGTTTTTGTGGGGAGAAAGTGATTTTTGCATATTGATGTCCGTAAGTATACTGTTTCTTCAACTCTTGCAGTAGCTAATCCTTCCCCACACGCAGACATTTTAGGACAGCACATGTACAAATACAAACACACACAAGCACATGCCACAAAAAATGCACGGATAACAAGCTGTTAATTGATGATTTCCAAGTTTCCTATGTGTCTTTGATATTTCTAATACGTCATCTTCTGCCAATGATGCCTCTTTAGGTAGAGCGGCTGGATGATACATATTTTGAAACAATGATGATAAGCAATAATGACAAGGCTCCTGTTGAAGCTGTATAAAATTTGATAATATATCAAGCATTCTCTTTGAATATGGAAAATCCATTTTGCCAGATGGATGTGCAAATTCTTTAGTAAGCTGATCTTAGGAAAAAAGAATAGACTATTATTTAATCAACAAATAGGATGCTGTTTGCCATGTTCATCTCTATATTTCCGCTTTCTCTTTTGCTTAATAATCAAAACTTCACCGTTTCCTGGCTTGGAGGAGATAATGCTAACAAAATGTACTGTAATTGTTTAGAAGTGATTTTCTCCAGAGATCCAGGAAGCTTAAGTAGTTGAGTTTCCTATTACTTTCTGCCCCCTGGGTTTTACATTAGTTCTGCACCGACTTTCTTGTCTTGTGTATTTGTAAGAGTAAACGATTAGGTAGGAGAGGCTCCAGGGGACTGTTCTTGGCAGTAGCAGGTTGTGCTTAACTACCTTCTACTTGCATGCACCTGATGCTGTCGGTTATTAACAGAGTTTGTGGGAATCAATGACTACAATATCTCTTTGCTTAATAGGTGTATGCAAAGGAAAGAAAGATGTGATAACATTTATCTGCAGGTGCATCCTATGGTCTTAATCCAAGAAACAGAATTTGGTAGAGTTGTTGACAGCTGTTTTACTTGTTCTATGTCTTCATTGCACAGGTTGAGCCATGAATATTCAAAACAGGGGCTGCCTGACTATTCCACCCATGGGAAAAATCAACAAGAAGCACTACATGTGGTACGGAGTAATGGACAGCGAAGGCTACTGCAAATGGAGTGGCAGGAATAAAGCAGATGACGGTAGAGACAATTCGTGGAGGATTTTTAAAAATGGAAACGTCAAATGAGTGTTGAAGGCATAATATCAGTGAACACTGTGGGTGATTGGAGGACCTGGTGCCCTCCAACTCATCTGTTGTCACAAAGCTCGAGATTTAATCAAGCTTTGTGACTGAGACAGTATCATTTCACACATTTTTCTTCAACAGAATGTTTTGTACTTTTGTTTAACTTATTAAAACATCTTTTAAAAATTATGATTATTGAGGTAATATTGAGTCCAACACTGTATGTCTTAGGGGTACAGGTTCATATCTCTGCTGATGTATGTTTTCACACCACATCCACCACCAATGTTTAGTCATCCTCCATCCTAGTCCAGAGAAAAATGGGTTTTTGTAAACTTACCCTACCATTTTTCTAGGAAAGGAATGATTTTCTTTTCCTCTTTTTCCCTTCCCTCCCTTCCTTCTTTTTCTTTCTCTTCTCCAGCTCCTCCTCCTTTTTCTTCTTAACTTCCTTGACTCCTTTTATTTCCTAAGGCCACTGGGCATTCTTTGCTCCTGGATGAAGATGCAGGGAAGGGAAAATGTGGTTAGAGGGGCAGTGACCAACAGCGACATGCAGCAGGATGGAGAAGGGCAGGTCAGCCCAAGGTCTGCTGGAGGGTGCGGGGACTGGCCACTGGGACCTGCAGGAGGAAGGAAATGTGCGATACTTATTTGTTGCGATGGGATGCATGATGTAATCCCCATATCTACACTGCCAACCCAAGTACTGACAAGGTCAGATTGCATGCGTACCAGCACGACTCAGCCATGCTGACATCTGTGGCTGGGCGTCTGGTAAAAGCAGACCTGACCTACTCAGACCCGAAGAACAGCATGCAAAAAATATATTAAAAAAAAAAAAAAGGCAATCACTTCCTTTACTGTCCTCTACATTATCTACTGCAGCCAAATAAGACGACTCACTGCTTTCTGAACTTTTGGCCCCTTCTTACCTCTGCACTTTTGTGCTTGTCTTTCAGCCTTAATATCCTCTGTCACTTCCGTTCCACTCCACCGTCAAAATCCTACTAATCTTACAACGTTTAAATGCCATCTCTCCCTTAAAGCCTTCTCTGGCTCCCTGGCTGGAAATTATTTTCCCGTTAATTCCAATTCCTGCACTTTCTTGCAGTTCTTTCAAGTCCCTCATCACCCGATGTATTACAGTAGCCACAATGCGGGGAGGGTTGTTGGGGGTGGCTGTCTCTCTGCTACGAGTATGAGGCCTCTTTGGGTCTCATCCTGATCCTTAGCAGAGACTCAATAAATACCTATAGAACAAGGCATGCCTGGCTCATCGAATACTGGGATTTTTTGGGTTTTGTTTTTACATACATCTTGCATAATTCCTGAGTTATTTTTTTAAAAAGGACTTTGTGGGTACAATGTCCTCCCCATAGCACAACATTGAAAGGTAATATTGGTAATAACAAATTGCAATGGTCAGTATAGTTCTAAAACATGCAAGATGGAAAAGTAACAAGAAATTCTTTAGAGGATATGAGTTGTATTTCAACAACTAAATTATAATAGGTGCTCATCCATTTGGGAAATGTACCTACAAAATAAAAATATGTGAAAGACAGCAGAACTGTGATTCCAAAGAATTTTACACAAATGGAAGGGGTGCGTGCTGTTAGCTATTGCTGTCTTAAATTAAAAGAAGAATGTTAAGGGCCTCCCTGGTGGCGCAGGGGTTCAAGTCTCAGCGCTATCAAGCTACCACCAGCCACTGCCCTTGAGTTGATTCCCAGCCAGGGAGGTGACCCACATGGCACAGCAGACCTCTCCTGTCTCACCCGCTGCCCCCCTCAGCAGTGTATTTCAGTAGATCCACCTGTTCTGCTCTCCATTCTGTCTCTGGTGAATCCTCTTTCCCCCTGCACCTCTGTCTGCACCCCAGTTCTTGTATGCATAAATAAACAAAAATAAATCTTAAAAGAATTTTAAAATGCAGGCAATTTCAGAAGCTGAAAATGTAAGTAACCTGAGATGATAATTAGGTGATTTCCTTACCTCTCTTGAGGAAAAAATGGATCCTTATGGCTGTATACATTTATCTGTTTCTTATTGTCCTTGCACCCTCTGTCAAGAAGACAAATTCTGATGTGTGACACTGCTTGGAAGACATAATAGCATCCCACAGAAATGAATGAACAATAGCTGGCTATATCAACATAGATTAATCTCAAATTATATGTTGATTAGTGAGAAAGCAAATCACAGAAGAATATACACAGGATGAGTTCTCTTACATAAAGTTAAAAAGCAGATAAAACAAAATACTATATTGTTGTAGGAGGATAAGTATAGTGTGGAAAAATAAAGAAAACAGGGAATTTTAAGGCAAAATTTAAAAAGTGAACTTTCGATCTCTGCAGACTTGGAAGGGAGGGGAGGAAAGTCTAGGAAAGAATAACAGGGGACTTCAAAGATAAAGATCATATATTATTTCTTAAGCTAGAATTTTAAAAACTGTATCTATGTTGTTTATACTTTTGTATATATGATATAATTACAAAATGAATACACATCGTAATTTCATAGCCCTGTTGCAAAACTAATATATGTACAGCAACTGGCAGAGGGTTGCATCAGGGGTTATGCAAAATTATAAGATAAACATCTCATCTAGGGATATCAATTTTAAAGGGTGGTGGTCAAAACATTTTAAAATTAAAGCACAGTGGAATATTTTATGGAGTAAAACAAAGCATATGTATTAAGTTTCTAAGATGAAATGTAATCTTGCCAAGAAAGTTGCTTTTTGCAGTGAGTCATTTTAAGCTTGCTCTCCAGCCTCTCCAGATGCTCATTCTTTGTCCTCTGTAGTAATGGATGGTGTAGGCAGAGAATCTGCAAAGCCCCAAGAAATCAAGGAGTGGAGTTTAGCCTGAGACAACAGGGTGAATAGACTCACGCTTTGTCTCGGAACACCACAAAAGTGTATTTATAAACATAACCCTGTAGCATATGGTGTTAATACATGCCTGCTTCCTTTTTGCTATTTTAGAAAATACTGAGTAAATGCCTTTAAAGGGCTTTGCTGAGATACCTATTATCTTTGGTGCCCCCTAGAGGTTAGAGAGGGATACAATAAATAAATTAGTCCCCAGTCCTGAAGGGACATTTGAGTACTAAGCCACTGCCCAAGAGTGGGTGAGGGATTCTGGAGCGTTTACCCAGCAGACAGCACAGTAAGACTCAGGAGACTATGAAAGAGGTAAAAGGGAAAAAGGGAGAGATTTTAGGACACAGAAAACAGACATCCTTAAAATGTGGAAGATTTTATTAACTTCCTTTCTCGAAACACAAATTGAGATGTCTTGTCAAAAAGGGGAACGTCTGTCTTCTTGATATATATATATATCAAGACAGAGTTAAAGTTGTCTCTCTAGACAAACTGTGTAAGGATGCTCAGAGAGTCTAGCAAATTCATTCAGCAAATATTAAAGCGCGTCAGCTCTGCCAGTCACCAAGCTAGCGTGGAGTTACAATGATGAGTCAAAGCATCATCACTGTCCTTTAAAGCATTTGTCATGGGTTCATGTGAACAGTTTAAAAAATTCTGATGCCCAGATCCTGATTTAATTGGTCTAGGATGTTGTTTGAATATTAGGATTTTAGAACTCCAATGGTGATTCAACGGTTCATCCAAAATTGAGAATCTCTAGTTTAGAGAGCAATCAAAACACAAAGAATTACTCTGCCCCAGCCCTACCAGCTTTTTCCTTGCATGCTTACCTGGAACACCCCTGTGATTATTAATCAAATCTGATCCTAGTTTACCTGCCTGTCTTGAGGCATTGTAGGGTAACGAAAAAGTATCAGGCTTTTCTGCCCTCCCGCCATTAGGATAGATCAGGAAACCCTGCGGTCCTGAATGCATGCCTGATGGTGGGCACCTGAAGTGGGTACACCTGGGCTGAGAGACTGAGTTTATAAGGGTGGCATCGAGGGGACGCCAGCAGAAGCCATGAACGAACAGAAGCCGAGAGAAGAAGAGAAGCAGAGAGAACGCCAGAGAGAGCCCAGATAGAGTGAGCATTTGCTGGGGGCTGGGAGGTCTGCCAGCTTCCAGGCCCCCCAAGACCCCTGCCTGCCACATGCCTGGTAAATCTAAATAAAAGACTTCAAAAACCACTGAGGACTCTGACTCCTCCTTTACCTGGTCTGCTGGATCAGAAAACTTGCTCCGTGTCCATTCCTGCCCCTACAGTCATGCTCAACATATGTTTACCTGTCTGATTCCATCCTAAGTCTTTATTCTTAGCAGAGCCCAATCGAACTTTCTTTTCAAATAAAAATAATAGCAACTACACTCCTGCTCTTGGTCTCATTCCCAAACATATTACATATTTTATATACTCTGAAGGGAACTGTAGCCCCATTTACCCCTTGGAAACAGGGAACAAGGCAGAGTCAAGCACAGTTTGTGTACTGGGACTTTGGGGGCAAAAAGATTTGGGGGTTCAGGAACAGGAAATAAGCAAGAGAACCCAAATTGGACACTGATTCATGATTAGATTATCTGCAACCCAAATTTGATGCCCAGTCATCACCAAGATAATCATCCCCTGCTCTGGTCATATAAGCCCAAGAAAACCTAGTATGGAGAGCCTGCCTGTGTAAATGTCTCCAGTGCTCTCAGTTTGATACAAACTTTTTTGATTCAATTGTTTTGATTTTGACGTGTACCATCACTAAACATTCATGACATTGCATCAAAGAGTATCACATAGACATCTTCACCTCTGTGGAAGCCCACCAGCTAGAGACCACTAGGGTCACAGCTATAGTAAAACAAAGATGAATTGATTACTTTCAACAGCTAAGGAGACCACACACCGTGGGGAACCATGCATTGTCTTGAGAAGAGAGAATTAGAATGGACTTAGTGTAGAAACTGGGTATGTGCTGAATGATTTGGGGGAGGATTCAAAGGACCAGAGGTTTGCATTGGAGCCCTTTAAAAGTCAGGATAATTAGGCAAACAGGTGTCTTATTGTTTTCCATTTAGGGGGCTGGAGGAATGGAGTAGGACGTGATTGTCATTTATCTTTTCCGGGGGAAGGAAAGGTTTGATCCTCTGTGGATGCACAGCACCTGTAGTGACCCCACTCGGGCACTTTTGGTGGTGGTCTTGTTTTAAATCATGGAGAGTCCTCGCGGGATGTCGATATTATGTGAACCTGTGTATATTCAACAGGAAAACACCATCAACCTGGAAGCAGCTAGGCCAGCTACCAGTTGACGCTTGTCAGGGCTGTGTTTTTCTTTCTTACCAGACAAGCTGGGGTCAGTGTAGGGATAACAAAATGGTCAAAGATACATTAGGGATGACGCATTAAATGGAAGTGAGGAAACATGAAGAGAAAAAACTAAACAAGCGTAATATGTCTGCCACACTTGTTCCTCTCAGAAAGGTCCATCAATCATTCTAAGAAATTGTCTTTTCATTCTCCAAAAATTCATTTGGACTTGAATGGGCCACAATAAAAATGCTTCTTCTCAATAATATACTTCCTTTCCCCTTTTTTCTTTCCTTTTTCCTCTCTCTCTCTTCCTCCCGCGCTCCCTCCGTTCCCCATATTCATTAAGTCACTCCATCCTCCCAATCGCCAGTCAGTATTTTATTATCTATCAGGCACTGGGTCTGTGCATTACTTTTCTTTCGCAAACAACGAATTACAAGCACCGTGGCCTGAAACTGTTATAGGGCAGGGAGAGGGGCAGCCCAAGCCCCGCAAGCCTGCCTATTCTACATGGGTTCTGCCATCCGCCGCATCAACACAAAACATATGAGACTTTAATGGGAAGGAACTTTAATAAAAACTAGGAAACAATACAGGTAAGGCAAAGAGTCTAGTTTCTAAATGAAGCACCCAAAGTTACCCGTCCCCTCGTGGGTAAAAGTCCATCCATATGGGATCAGCCCAGAGCAAGGCCCCAAAACCTGCCACAAGTCTAAAGCATCTTCCAGTGGGGACTCACAGAAAAGAGTCAGAAACAACCAAACAAGCCCGGAAGGAAAAGAGCAAAATCAACATCAAGATAAAAGCTGCCATTGTCACCTCCCCACGGGTCTCACCCACATCTGTGTCACCCAGTCCACGACCAAAAGACAAGCGCAGTTTCTTCACGTGTCTCTAGGCTCCATGCGCCTCCTCCAGGTCTCCTGGCTCCATCCTGCTTCCTTCCTCAGTCTCTTCTGCAGCTTCTCCTCTTCCTGCTCAGCTCCACCCTCCCTTGGGTGGGGCAGGGAACCTCCCCCTTTCCTGGGGACCACCCTGTTACAAAACAACAGTCTGTAGGTCATGGTGCTGTAGGTCACAAGCCCAGGCAGGTCACAACTGAGTGTGTTTCCTTATGCTAAACCAAGATGTCAGCGGGGCTAACTTCTGGTCTGGGTAAGAATCTGCTTCAAACTCACTCAGATTCTGGTAGAATGTAGTTCCTCGAGGCTGCATTGTTGAGGTCTTGAAGTCTTGGCCAGAGCTCACCATCAGCAACTAGAGCCTACCAGCTGCCAGTGGCTTCTAATGTGGTCCCCACAGCGAATTCTGACTATGATTATTGCTGCTTCCTCCTGGTCAGCAGGAATGAATCTGAATTCTTTCTCCCAAACCAGCTGGAAAACACTTTCTGCTTTGAAAGGACTCAGGTCAAACTAGATTAATTCCCTTTTGCCACATAATATAACATACTCACAACTTTTTCCCATACTCAGTATGATGAGATTATATAAGGGCAAGGGTGCATGGCATCACCTTGGAATTCTGCCTACCTCAGATCAATATAAAAGTCAATAATCAATTGTGCCTGCCCACCAGGAGATCACAGTCTCAGTCACTTAAACAAGGGTCAGTGATATAACTTGAATGCACAGTATGGTAACAGAGCTACATAATTGTAATGAGGTAGAACAGAGATGGGAATAATTACCTGCAACAGAACGATTGGGAAGAGTCCAAATCACTTTCTAGAAGAGATCTTTTAGTTGAGTGTGGGTGATCAGATGGACAAGGTACAGAAGACTATTCCCAGTGTGGCTGGCAGGAAAGGAGTGGTGTGGTGTGGTGGTGGTGGGGTGTGTGTGTGTGTGTATGTGTGTGTACCGGGGAAACATGGGCCTTTACTATTAAAGTGTAGTAGAGCTAGCAGAAGGAGCTGATAGGGTAGTCTAGACAGATTAACGTAAAGATAAGTAGAAGAATAGGAGTTGGTAAGATGGACCCAAAGAAGAGCAGTAGTCAGAGATCTATTATTGGGGGCCTTCCTGGTGACGCAAGGGGTTAAGACACAACCTGTGAACCTATCCCCAGCCACTGAAGCACGAGTTCGATCCCTAGCTAGGGAGATACCCACATGGCACAGCAGACATCTCTCCTGACTTGCCCTCTGCTCCCCTCAGCAGTGTATTTCAGTCAGTCTGCCTATTCTGTTCCCCACTCTGTCTCTGGTGAATCCTCTCACCCCCCCCATACCTCTGGCCTGTACCCCAGCTCTTGTATGCATAAATAAATAAATCTTAAAAAAAAAAGATATCTACTATTGAATTTTAGTATTGATTGATTCCACTAGTTTTTCTAGTGGAAATAACTCTCCACAAGGCAATGAAGCTCCCCAACCCACTCACTGGTCAGGGGATGCCCTTGATTGGGCTAACTACCATGTATACTTGTGATCCTTTGTCTTGCTCTGCCATTTTGTGCTTTTAAAAAATAGAACTTCACACAACAAAGGCCCAGAAATTTCCCTTTTTTTCCTGAGAATGAGATAATTTTGCATTTGCTACACTAGGACAGCACCTTACATTTAGACACATGATGTATCATTGCTTTATAAAATCACAAGAACAACATTTAACTAACAATAGTGGGAAAGAATTAGCATTAAATGCTTAAGAGCAATTGGGGAGGATCATCAATACAGTTACCTTCCAAGGAAGGTGGAAAAATGAAAGAGCAACTGTTTTGAAAAGACTTTTTGTGCATATGTATATAGAATTTGAGTGTCTGGAGCACAATTAAGAAATAATTTGATTTTAAAAAGCCATGAATTTCACAGCATGATTTAAAAACAAATACTTATATAACTAATTGAATAAAAGCTGATTTGCACTTCTGAGGTTGTATGTAGGACCTTGGCTTGGGTTTGGGGAAGTAGGTTTATAGCTACATTAAACTATTGTTTGTTTACATTTAGATATGCTGCCTTGATAAAATAGAAAACTAGAACAATGAGCAGAACTGAGAGCTTTAGGAAAATGCTGTGAGGGCAGTAAGTGTTTGCTGCCTAATTTCAGAGAGGGGGAGGGGAAATAGAAGCAATTCTAAAAGTTTTAAAGATAATGAGATTCTTTATAATAACCATTAGAAGGTAGCAAAAATAATTTTGCCCAAAAGCTAATAAGCTTCCATGGCGTGTTGACCAGTCTTTTTGATGAATGAATACATATATTCATCTATATATGTAACAGAATTTTGCTTTTTGTATAATTCATCAAACCATAGGACATCAGTTGAAATGGTTACAAAAGGACCTGCTAGGAAGATTGTTACCAGCATAAAATCGCAATGGAATGATTTGTCAAGGGAGTCAGTCAGTGACTTAAACAAAACATGAGCTAGTAGTGTCTGGGGTTGGACGCTAGGCATATATGAGCAGGGGATTTGGGGCAAGCTCGTTCCGTGATTTTAAAGGAGAGCATAATTGTTTCTTAATTTATTTAAAGAACATTTATTCAGATATTTACTAAGTTTAAAGTATGGGTTTAATACTAAAGCCCCGCTTAAAGTCAGCTCTCAGGGAGATTTCAGATCATGTTCTTCTGTGCTATCCTAATGGGGCCATCCTAATGGGGCAGCAGGTAACTACTTACTACATCTTTTAAAGTCTGCTTTACATATTTTATTTGTTATTTACATTTTATTGATGTGTGCATAAAACATTATATGTACATACAGATATGTATTTATATCATATGTCTAGATCATTCATCTATCCACCTATCATCTACTTATCTATCTATCTATCTATCTATCTATCTATCTATCTATCTATCTATCTATCTGAGACAGAGAGACACTGAGATTGAGAGAGGGAAAGAGGATAAATAAGAAATCATTCCACTGTCAAAATGAAGAGGAGGAGCATTGCATCCTGATTTTTTCTCATGAAACATGAGAAAAGAGAAAGGAGTCTTTACAAAATATACCTGGACTTTTCTTTCCAAAGCTAATAATAAACTAACATTCTGTCTTGCTGCAGAAAAATGAAAGTATAATTTTACTACTTCCTTAAAATGAAATGTAAATGTTTTGAAGCTCAAACCCATTTGAAAAATGCAAACATTTAAATTTGCCGAGAGAACTAATTATTATCTACACTGATTTTCATTTCCTCTCCTCTCTCTAGCCTGTTTTTACACCTTTATGAATGATCCTACCCGCCATGTGACGTTCCAAATTGAGTCATCCTCAATTTCTTCCCCTCCCCTTCATACTTAATTTCTTGGTCCTATTGATTCAACTTCTGGAATATTTCTGAAATTCCTGTGTTTTGTTTTCCTGTCATTCCTTTCATTGGTGGCCTCATTTATCTCTTGGACCACAGTCATTGTTTACTTAGTCTTTTCCAGACTCAACAAATATTTATAGAGCGCTCCCTGCTAAGTTATCAAACCTAAGTTATCAAACCACCACAATTTCATCTCCTGTCTAGTCATAGCTGAGTTCCAGTTCCTACATCCAGCTATTTATTTGCTCTCTCTATTTGGCAGTCTTATTAGCATGTCACACTTAAGTTATCCAAAGCAGAACTCAGAATTTACCCTTCCTGTCTCCCCTGCCTCCCAACGATTCTCTCTCATTCCCCACCCTTTTCTGGCAAATAGAACTGTCAGCCTTCCAGGAGCACAAATGACAAACCTCAGAATCATCCCTGAATCATCCCTTGTTCACTCCCCCTTAGCCAATCTTTCAGCAAATCCTATTGATTTGGCTTCCAACATTTATTTTCAATCTAGTCACCTCCCTCATCTCTGAATCAGGCTACCTGGTTCAAATCCAGTGCCCTCACTTACAAGCTATGTGCTTGGCCATGACTTTGGGTAATTAATGTCTGTAGGTCTTGGCTTCAGGTGCAAAACCAGACTTTTCAAAGAAAAAAAGCTGAAAAAATTCTAAAGGTGTGGTTTAACTTCACAAGAGCTAGAATTTGACTGAGTGAGGAAAAGTATGCATTGATGTGGTCTTTTATCTCCTCTCCCCTCAACTGATTTATTTTGACAGTGGAAAGGAAGGGGGAGTTGCCAGACTCTCAGGAGGAGTGGTGTTACCGTAGGGGTGTTTGGCCTCTTAACAATGGGGGCACATTTGCTAGCTTTTATTTGGTGGTTACACTGACAGTTGTCTGACCTCCACGTGACTTTCAAACATTGCACTCCAGTCAGAAATTGGATTATACCTTCATTTGTAGAAGGGTTTCAGGACAGAGAGTATTTTTTGGAAATATTTTAAATTATAGAGGAGTAATATGGAATGGCATTTAAAAGAAAATCTAATTTATGAAGCTATTGTACATGCCTGTTTTCTTTACTCTAAAAATCTAATTTATCTGGATGTATGATGTCTGCTTCATTAAGTCTACCCCACTTCTTCCTATCATATTTATACTTACAAAACGTATCTGTTACTTGTACAACAACTAAATTTGAATTCCAGTGTCCACTAATACCTTCTCTCTTTCAAATTCTTCTTGAGTGGGAAGACTTTGGGTCTTACTCCTTTTAGATATAAACAAAGTATTTAAAAGATACAGCATCTGACTATTTTATGTTGTCTGCTCAAGTCAGATCTGAACATTTACATATTAAGATACATAATATTTTATTACTAATATCTTTTTTTATATCTTCTGTACATTAAATGAGGGTGATATGTTTCTTTTTTGCCAAACTGTATATAGGCAGGTCCTGTTATATATGACATTTAACTTGCGATTATCAAGAGATTACTCAAAAATATTTGTTCAAAAAAATATTTTTTCAAAAACCACTGCTGGATCTGATGGGGTTGAAAACCACAGTTTTAGATGCCGACCCTGAGGAAGGACAAAAAGGAAAGATTTAGTGCAGTTGAGCAAGATGCAAACCTTGTGGGCATGATGGTGAGGTTACAGCAGGGCAGCAGGAGACACAGCAGAAAGCAACGCAGACACTTGAGTCCAGGTGAGACCAATTACATTTTGGGGGAGGGCTGTGGGTAGAGGGAACTCCCCATAGACCATGTTTCCTTCAGCCAAGGCAAGGAGGCTACATGAACTCCCTTAGCTTAGCTCACCCTAGAGGAACGTAGCAAGAAAGGGGAGCAGAGAACCATGAACTTGATCATTTTCCCCAAAGAAAGAGAGATCTAGATAGACCTAGAGGGAATTGTGCTTACTAAAATAAGCAAGACAGAGGAAGACAAACACAGTATGATTTCACTCATTTGAGACCTAGAGAGAAAACAAACGCATGAACTAAATAAAACAAAAATAAACTTTTGGTCTGTAAGACCAATTATTGGTTACCGGAAGGGAAGGGGGGAAAAAGGGAACAATAATATGGTGGAGGATAGAATTAGACTTTTAACAATGAACTTAATACGACATATATACATTGATTCTCAATGATGAACTCTTTAAACTTCTAGAATATTAACTGCAATGTTACTTCAAAAAAAATTGAGAGGTTAGCTGAGAAGTGATAGAAGTAACTTAAGTTGGATATTTTTCATCTTCCTTTGCTCAGGAAATGGAATCTTAAAGGCGAAGTTTCATTATGATTTTCGAAAATGAAGGAAGTCACATCTATGCAAATAAAGTTTGTAGACTTGTGACTAAACTTGTTGTTTTTTCCACTGCTTTCACCCTAGTCCAAGCCTCCAAGATCTTTTGGCTAGAAAATAGCAGTAGCCTCCTAAAAGGTTTCCATGTCGTCTCTCTATTCTTCCCAATTCTAATGCACCTTTCATGGAGCTGAGTGAGCTCTTAATTGGTTATGTTTCCTTGCTTAACATGCCCCCGCCCCCTCAACCCCCGCCCCCTACACACCAGTGATTCCTTTGTACCTGTTATCATGGCTGACTGATCTGTCATGATAGGGGTATTTTTGTTCTACAAGCCAGTCTTGCAAGACAGTCCTGCTGTAGAAATGTGGGATGATGGCTGAGGTTACAATAGGGCATGACTTCAGTTGACATCCCAGTTGATGGTAATTCCATCCTTCCAATTCCTTAGGCCCTAAACTTTGACATCATCCTTGACTCCCCTTTTCCTCTTTTATCCCACCTTGAATCCATGAGTAAACGCTGATAGCTCTGTCCTGAAAATGCAGAACGTCTGACCTCTTCCCACTGACTTCTCGGTTATCATTCTGTCTTGGTCTGATCTACCATCATTTCTTGCTTGTTTACTAGAATAACTATCGGGCTGGTTTTCCTTCTTCAATGTTTGCTCTCATATAATCTTTTCTCAACAAAATAGTCAGAAAGACCCTTTAAAAACTGACCAGATCCTTAGGGCTTCCTCATTTCTTTGAGGGTAAAATTCCTACAATGACCCACAAGGCTTAACTATTTTCCCTATAGGCATTTAAATGCCTCAGGCTAAACATAATTCTCATGCTTATTGTTCACTAAAATATACTAAGCACCTAATGGTAATGAATAACATAGCAGGGCCTCAATACAATCATTGGATTATGTGATTAAATCTTGTTTACTAATTCATCATTTCTTTTTTGCATTGTGACAATGTAAGATGTCTGAGGGCAGGTTCCTTATGGGTCTTCTTTAATAATGTATCCAAAACATATAGAACTGTAGCCTGTATACAGTAAGTGTTTAACAACTTCTTATTGAAGAAATAAGTGAGTATATACCCTGAAAAGATTCATGCATATGCTTTTACTATGCTGAGTTAACGAGTTTATTATGCATACAGCTCTAGTATTGTTTCCATTCATCACTCATAGGCAGTTATCTATGGTGGATGAAGTGTTTGACAATAAAGCAGGAGTTGTTCATATAAATAGAACTCTGTGAGAAGCAGTATGGAGGATTATAGTTGGCCCACAGTTAACAATCACATAGTGAACTGGAATACATTCAGTGTATAGCACAATTCTTTCTGCACTTTGTCTTTCTATACAAACTCTTCTGTTAACTTCCTCTGGAAAAAAGAAAACTATTGCTTTGCTGGTTATTTGCAAAACTGCTTACCCTGGGGGCTTTTACTTATTTATTTATTTATTTATTTTTGTTTATTTACGAAAATGAAAAAAAGTCATTTCGGGGTGTAAGAGCACTTTATATTCTTGAAGAAGAGACTCACGCTGCCAATGACTTACATAATCTATTTTGTTTCTCATCTGTATTGAAGGGCATTCATATCTATGTATTCCTGTGTGCAAATGTTGAAGCTCCAAAACTATTCTCTGTGATTGTTTGGATTGTTAATCTCTCCAGGGTTTCTTCGACATTCTCAAAGGCAGTTTCTGGCACCAAAGGGAAAATGGAGAAGTTGAGATGCAATTTTATCTCTCATTTGAACTTGATTAAATGGGGACTGTTCTAATCAAAAGTTTGAATCCTAGGGGAGTGCAATGTTGTTAACAGGTTGAAAATATTTGAGAATAGGGAGGAAGAATACTAAAGTTAAGGCAGAGAAAGAATCAGCCAAGAAAATAATTGTAGTAAAGCTCATTAAGGCATAAAATTAGGTGAACAAATTGCTTCACAGATAGTGTTAAGCTCATTGCTAGACTGGCAAAGGAAGTGGAAGAAAGCTCTTTGAAAACATTATTTTTATTATTTTAATAATTTGTGTAGGAATCCTAGTAGCTGCAATCTGTTAGCCAGAAACAATTGCCAGCTGGTGTCATCGTGGAGTAACTATAGTAGGCTGAATGCAAACATGTTTTTCCTTTTTACCTGGAGAGCATTCAATTTTAGAAAGTTTCTATTCATTTTCATCTGAATGTGAAGTCTGCCCTTGTAGATAAGGAAGCCTGTTTATTGCATGATTTAAGAGCTCTGATTAGTCTCACACCAAATTCCACAAATGTAACAGAGAGACCACACCTGGGACAGACTGTGTTTACACAATCAAAGTGACCTATGGTCAAAAACAAATGCTTGGGTGTCTGCCTGCATTATCCACATAATTGCTTGATTCTGTGCAAGGCTTTCCTTGCGATTACCTCAGAAAATGGTGGTGCTCCATTAGTTAGTTTACTGAGAGCAAAAGCAGATCTTCTGGGGTGATCTTCTTTGAAAAGTGTTAAAGGCACACTTATTTATGGAAACATACATTTTGTTGGCAACATAGCTATTATATTTGTTTGCTGTAATGTTTTCTTCTGCAATTATCCTAAGTAATTTCTTGTAACAATAATATAATCATGTTAAGATTGTTCTTATCTTTCCTGTTCATCTGGAATCTCATAGACTAGGTGCCAAAATACTGCAGGATGTAGAGACTGCTCAGCTTTGCCTAGAAAGACAGAGGGAGAGACAAAATAATTTAATTGTTCTATTGTAATTCTGTCGTCTCTTCCTGCCTCTTGACTCAAGAGTCTCAAGATGGGAGAGAGGAAATCATGGACTCTGTAGTTGATGTCATTCGATTTCTTCACGGGTGATTTGAACATATTTTAGGGATGCTAATGGTTTCTAATCCTGGCTCTACTAAGAGAAACTTAGTTCAGTTTCCTCATCTCTGAAATGGGATATTATACTTCTCTCCTTTGAGTGTTGGTCTGAAGAGCAAATGAAATAGTGGTTAGGAAAGTGCTTTCCACTCTACAAATTGCCACCAGTGCTCGGGTTATACATTTGGGTTGCTAACAAGATTATATTTATCCATGTGCTATCAAGTGATTTTATAGAAAAGGCGAAACTTCTCAAATACGGTAATATAAGACGTATAATGTATAATGAATTTCTCCTGGGTGAAAGCAAAGGTACCTTTTTAAAAATCGGTACTACCATTAACTAGATGCATTCAGGAAATAAATGTTGGGTTTTATTGGATTTTTGTCCTATCACAACTTCTTGTTTTGGAGAGTTGTGTGATGCCATTAATAGTTTAAACCTGAAGTGAGAGAGAAAGAAATAGAATCAAGTAAGCTTTAAAGAAGCTGATTCATCTTACCCAACACCTTCCTTACTAATATAGGCTCATAGGTATCAGAAAGGGCACTGTTTGTGGTTGTTTATAGAGTTGAAAACAGGAAAGGAAACAGGTGGGAAGCTTTGTTGAGCAGAATCCCACCCACCTAGAACAATAAAAATAACTTCTTATGGACAAGTGTTAGCATCCCTGAAAGAGACTGGACCTTAACTGGTGGTTGTGAAGGGGGCAGTTTTGTTATAGGACAGGGAGAGGGGCAGCCCAAGCCCCGCAAACCTGCCTATTCTAAATGGGTTCTGCCATCCGCCGCATCAACACAAAACATATGAGACTCTAATGGGAAGGAACTTTAATTAAACTAGGAAACAACACAGGTAAGGCAAAGAGTCTAGTTTCTAAATGAAGCACCCAAAGTTACCCGTCCCCTCGTGGGTAAAACTCCATCCATATGGGGTCGGCCCAGAGCAAGGCCCCAAAGCCTGCCACAAGTCTAAAGCATCTTCCAGTGGGGACCCACAGAAAAGGGTCACAAACAACTGGACAAGCCCGGAAGGAAAAGAGCAAAATCAACATCAAGATAAAAGCTGCCATGGTCACCTCCCCACAGGTCTCACCCACATCTGTGTCACCCAGTCCACGACCAAAAGACAAGCGCAGTTTCTTTACGTGTCTCTAGGCTCCATGCGCCTCCTCCAGGTCTCCTGGCTCCATCCTGCTTCCTTCCTCAGTCTCTTCTGCAGCTTCTCCTCTTCCTGCTCAGCTCCACCCTCCCTTGGGTGGGGCAGGGAACCTCCCCCTTTCCTGGGGACCACCCTGTTACAGTTTGACAAATGGAAGTGTGCACAGTGTTTTAGGAAGAGACAAATAGGTAGATCCATAAACTGGACAGGTGGGGAGGTGGGCTGCTATGGGTGCATGGAAAGCCAGGAGCAGGGGGCTAGGCATGGCAGGACAGCCAAGAGGGACATGTTGGCCAGGGAGTCAGGAAACATGGTGTCCAGCTCAACACCCTGCCACTGTCCACATAGGTCAAGCAAGTCTGGGGGTTGTAGTGGGACATTTATTCTAACGTGAGAATCCTGTCGTTCTCTGAAAAACAGATATTTATTAAAGCAAGATTTGACTCTCCAATAAATGAAAAATTTAGATGTTTGAAAAATAAAGTGAAAAACATCCGCACATAAACAAGAGCTTCTTTAGTCCATGAAATACCGCTAAGTGTAGGTCAGTCTTCCACTGGGGGTGGGGGAGGGTAGGAAGTGGGCAGATCTCCCCCATTAGGCGTTCTATGTGTATTAATTAGTGGGATGGATTTTAGGAGCTGACCCCCAAACTCCTCTTGCGTTCTGAGCGCTGCGTGGTTGTGGGTGGACTGTGCAGTGCTGGAAGAAATGAAGTGTGCGTTGCGGGTGCTTCATGGAGAATGGCTGGCTGGATGAATGAATGCAGGCTGAATCACGTTGGAGAGCTGGACAGGCCAAGGGTGTAGTGAAGACAGGGCCAGAATAAAACTTGAGCACGGGTTAGACCGTCCTGGGTGGAAAGGAAAAGCGGTCTGCAGTCCATTCCCGTGGTCTACCCGGGGGTCAGCCAACTGGCGTGAGGTCCCGTCTGGAAGCGTCTGCCCCTCGGTGCGCCGATGAGGCCGGCCAGGGGTCTGTCCTCTGCCCATGGAGAAGGCGGCCTGTCTGCGGGTCTCAGGGCAGCGCCGGCGACGCTCCCCTCCGAGCCTCCGCTTGCTCCGCCTCTGCCCGGCGCCCCAATCTCTCGGCGCTCCAGGCTGCAGGGATTCCCACCCCCAGCCGCCTCCCGCGAGCCCCGCGGAGCGCGGACTCCTCCCCTGGAAACTCCTCCGGGGCTGGGGAAGGCTTCGGCGCATGCTCCGTACCTCGGGCAGGTTTCTGCTGCGGGCAGCCCGGCTCCTGTCACACCGGCTGGCGGGCGGTGGCGGTGCCAGCCAGTGCGTGCGAGTGTGTCCGCGCGCCCGCGCCTGGGCGGACCGACCCGGAGCGGCGGCGCGACCGGCCGGGAGAGGCTGCCCGGCCCCGGCGCCCCGCGCGCCGCGGCTGCCCGGCTCCCTGCAAACTTGCGGCGGGCGCCGTGCGCCCCCGCGGCTCCCGCGCCCCGCGGGCCGAGGCGCCAGGCGCGCGTGCGGGGCGCGGTGCCCGAGGCCGGCGGGCGGCGGGGCCCGGCCGCACCTTCGCCCTTGGCCGGCGCCCTGGCGAGCCTCATGCGGCCCCCGCGCTCGCGGCCGCAGACGCCGGGCGGCCGGGCGGCGCGGGGCAGCTCCAGGACCCGAGCCGCGCTCCCCTGCGCCTGAGCGCCCGAGCGCCCGCGGCGGGATGGTCCGCGGCGCCTGAGAGCGCGCGCCGCGCCGGGGCGCGAGCAGGACGCGGCGGAGCCCGGCGCCCCCCGGAGCGCGGGGCGCCCCCAGCCGCAGCCGCCGCCGCGAGCACCGGCGCCCGCCTCCCCGCTCGGCGCGCAGGCCCCGGCCCGGCCGGCCCCGGGGCGCCGGGAAGCCGCGGGGCCGCCAGCCAGCCGCACGCCCCGGCGTCAGGGGCATGGAGGAGCGGCGGGCTCGGCGCCGCGCCCCGGAGTCCCCGAAACTTCCGAGCGGGCGCCTGTCCGCGCCGCTGCAGCCGCCGCGTCGCCTGCCGGCCTGAGAGCGGGACCATGGATGAGAGGTTCAACAAGTGGCTGCTGACGCCCGTGCTCACGCTGCTCTTCGTGGTCATCATGTACCAGTACGTGTCCCCCTCCTGCTCCAGCTCCTGCGCCAACTTCGGGGAGCAGCCCCGCGCCGCCGACACCGGCCCGCCCGCCGCCCCGGGGCCCGCCCGCCGCGCGCCCGCGCCGCCCGAGGAGTGGGCGCGCCGGCCCCAGCTGCCCCCGCCGCCCCGGGGGCCGCCCGAGGGGCTTCGGGGGCCGCGGCGCCCGAGGACGAGGACGAGGAGCCCGCGGACCCCGAGGAGGAGGAGGAGGGCGAGGAAGAGGAGCCGGACCCCGAGGCCCCCGAGAACGGCTCCCTGCCCCGCTTCGTGCCGCGCTTCAACTTCACCCCGAAGGACCTGACCCGCTTCGTGGACTTCAACATCAAGGGGCGCGACGTGATCGTGTTCCTGCACATCCAGAAGACCGGGGGCACCACGTTCGGCCGGCACCTGGTGAAGAACATCCGGCTGGAGCAGCCGTGCAGCTGCAAGGCGGGGCAGAAGAAGTGCACCTGCCACCGGCCCGGCAAGAAGGAGACGTGGCTCTTCTCGCGCTTCTCCACCGGCTGGAGCTGCGGGCTGCACGCCGACTGGACGGAGCTCACCAACTGCGTGCCGGCCATCATGGAGAAGAAGGACTGTCCCCGCAACCACAGCCACGCCAGGTACGGCCCCTGCCCCGTCGCACTCCCGGGGCCCCCTCCCGCCGCTCCCCGCGACCCCGACCGGCCCGGCGCCCGCGAGCTCCCCGGGCGCGCCGGTGCCCGGCGTCCCGGCGGCTGCCCGCGGTGGGGCAGAGGCTCAGGGAGAGGGATAAGACACCCGGGATAGTGCGCTGGTCTTGAGCTCGCTCCTCCCTCGCACCCTGCCCCCCACCCCGCTCCGCGCCCCGACACCCCCCTTTGGTCTTCAACGAGCCTCCCCTGGCATTTCTTGCGCCTGGCACCGTGCAGCTCCGCGCGCGGAGGTCGGGCAGCGCGCCGTGGCGTGGCGTGGAGGGCCTGGGTTACAGCATGAGGTCTAATCTAGTACTTAAGTTCTGTAAGAGGAAACCCCAACCCCATAAAAGACAGGGGGAGCGGGGCACGGACAGGCAGGACGGGAGTTTCCAGGCGCGGGTGAAGCCGGGGAGGCGCATAATCCCTCTGTGAGTGGCTTGTGGGAGGCCGCTGGCCGGCTCAGGAAACAATCCTCTGGATGCTGCTTTGAAGATACGCAGTAAGATTCCTGCTCTACCTCGATAACCCTAATTTTGGAGATAGTCTTTGTTGCTGAGCAGTGCCAGGATTTGGACCCGTGTTGATCTCAGCAAGATTTCCACGCTCCCCGAGCCTAATCCATCAACTCGTTCCAAAAGCATTTGTTAAATGCCTTGCTGTGTGCCTGGCAGCGTGCTAAATGCTAACTGGTTGCAAAGATCTAATAATAACAGAAATCCCTTTCAGTGCAGAATGGTGTTCTACCCCCCCCCCTTAAATAGTAATACTGCTGAGAATTAGGAAAGTTTGAAATCTTAATAGCCAATGAAAGTGCTTACATTATTCTCATCCTTTGAGAGAGGCATGGACTTAAGAATTTGGTTGCATGTTCTTTCTGCCCAATGCAATTTGAAGATTAATCTGACGTGCTTGCTCAAGGGACTGAATATTAAAAGCTTGCAACACTAGTTTATTGAAGTTTTTATCTCAAAGGTTTCAAACAATTTGGTGTAAGGAAATAGGAATTTAAAAACTCAAGCTCAATATGTTGATATCAGATAGCTTTTGCATTTGACATTATGGGAAAAGCTTCATTTACTGGAAGCTACCCAGATTCTGGAATTCACCACCATTGAAGCATCTAATTCTACTTCATTTCTCCAAGAATGAGCAAAATTTCATTATAGGATTTTTTACTCTGGCAGTTTTTCAAATACTTTCTTTCCTTCCTGCTCCTTTCCCTGCTTAATAGAAATTGGTTAGAGGAAGAAATTGGTTGGGCTTGGAGTGAAGTATTAGGCTCCTTCCTTAGTATATTTTAAGGACCTTCTTTACTTTTAAAATTTTCTAATTTGTAGTATTTTAGATCCTGCCTCTTTAGATTAAAATGGATATTATTTTCAAACTTTCTCTTCCAGTGAGAAACAGTATCTGTGAGTTTTCACCCAATGTTGTGCTTTTTGTATTTAGAACTTTTTGTATTGAATGACTGTAAAGAGTTGGCTAGTCTGGTTTTCAACTTTTATCCACTAAAACTAGAAACATCGATTATTATATAGAACCATCAAATGACTTCAGTAGGGACTGGCCTTCCCAACAAAAGGCAATGCTGTTTTCTGTGTACTTACTGCCAATGTGTAGAAAAGTCTTAGTGAGTAGGTAAAGATTTGGGTGGAAATGCAGATTAGAGAATCTAAAAACTGGATTTTTGCTTAGCGAAGAAATGATGTCACAGACCCTTCGTAGATTCTGGCTGTAAGGTCTCAGTTTTATAGGAAATACTCAAAATCTTTTGACTCTGTGACACAGGAAAATTCCACCTAGACTCTGAACAGATGGCTTCTGTTGCACAGCCAAATACTTTAAGAATGGGCCGTCAACATCCATTTCTCCTTGAGTCGCAAAACATCAGATAATCTCTCTGTCCTAGTGGGCTTTTGTGGTAATATCTTTGTTTCAGTACCACTTTTTATAATTCTTCTTCCTTTCCTCCTCCCCAGCATTCTCAATTACTTTTCTTCCCAGATGCTGTAAGAGGGAATAGTTGTGGTTGGTGAGCTGCCTGCATCAAAAGCTATAGGGAAAAAGTTGAAGAGTTGTTCAGAAGCATCTTCCTCACAGGGAAGATTGAATTAGTTGTCTGTCATCAGAATGCCTGTGTACAGCATCCTACAGCCAACTAGATTAGCCTGGATAATGGAGGGTGCATTTCCACAATGCAAAATGGCAGATAATCTATTGCTACATAATGGGAACAAGGTCCTACTTCAAATAGGGCTCACACTAAGTAAAATGGAGAAATACATTGTGCAGATTATAGTTCCCTTGTGTCTCTGTGCTTTTGGTCCCCCCCCAAACCACTACCCCACTTCTTATAGGTACTAGTGCACTGTGGGTCATGCAGTGGGTAAGAGCCAGGATTCTGGGGTCCAGGGGATATGGCTGTTGTGCTTACCGGTTGTATAACCATGAGTGAAATTACTCTTTCTGGGCCTCAAATATTTCATCTTTCAAGTACAGATGATAATAGGTACTTCCTTCATAGAGGTATAATGAGAACTTAATGAGTAAGTGCATGCAAAATGTGCCCAGCAAAATATTTTGCTACATGGGACTTAATACTTAATATGCGGGTATTGAGCGATATTAGTTGTTAATTATAATAACAGGGTTTTCCTTAATCAAGGCCTTCTTTCACAAACTGAGGTGAAGTCAGTACCTTGGAGCAGCTCAATATAAACAGGTCACCTTAGTTTATGTACATTGTGTTATGATTATTTGTATTGATACAGAATCTGAAGTTCCAAATGTAAGCAATACATTGAAAATTGTAGCTATTTCGGTGTTAGTTACAGCATAGGCAGGATGAAAAAAAAGGGTGGTGGGCACACAATATAACAGGTTTACATTCTAGTGGTCACGTGTTAGTTTGTGACCTTGAGACTTCCCTGATGAAATTCTAAATCGGCCTCCTTACATGGGGGACAAGGAGAAACCAAAGAAAGGGTCAGATTGGTGGGGGATGATTTTAATTAGCAAGGGGGCTTACATAGGAGGAGGCTTTTCTGGGGTAGCCACAAGACAAGTAGATATCTACCCTGATCTGCCAAAATCTAAAGAGTTTAACAGAGGCCTTACTGGGGTTCAGTTACGTGTACCATCTAGATGATTTCACTAACACGTCACTGTCAAGACTGTGTCAGTGAAGTGGCTTCTGCTGTGAGAACAATGGGTACAATGTGCGTTCCAGTGAGGGGAGGGGTTGAGGGGTCTCTGGTCATCCTGCTGCAGCCCATGGGGCAGTTGGGAGTCATGCCCTTTCTGTGACCTGCTCCAACATGATAAGTAAACTGTCTGGAAGTGAGACAGGAGGAGGGTACATCTGGCACCCCATGCAGAAATCGGATGCCAACTCTGAAAGTTGAAGGAGCAGTTGGTGGACTATATGGATCCATGCAAATTCAGGGTTCTGGGACTGAGAGTTTGGATCTAGTGCAGAGGGCATCTCTGACCTCAGAAATTGGGTAGAAGAGTATAGGAAGCTCACAGGAAGTGGGCACATCAGGATGCCCTCTTTTATCATATCCCTGATGATTTTGTCCCATTGTTCTACTTTTTCTCCCCCTACCCCATTATTTCTTTTTTTTAAAAATTTATTTATTTATACAAGCACTGGGTACAGTCAGAAGCGTGGGAGGGTGAGAGAATTCACCAGAGCCAGAGCGGGGAGCAGAGCAGGCAGAAGGACCGAAGTATACTGCTGAGGGGAGCAGCGGGCCGCAGGAGAGGTCTGCGGGCCATGTGGGACCCTCCTCCAGTGGCCGGGGAGCAGCCGGGGATCGAACCGGCGCCGCAGAGGCTGCGGGCAGCTTCGCAACCCAGCGCTCAACCGCTGCGCCACCGGGGAGGCCCATTAAATAAGTGTATACTTCTGTGTGATGTTCAAGGTGATTTTATTCCATACCTGGAGGAGAATGAAATACATATTATCTCCAAGAGAGGAAGCCTGGAGAAATACCTAGCACAGTTAAGTGGTGATGAGAAGCTTCCTGTTCCAATCCAGAAACGGCTTGTGGGTCTAAACAATCTTTCTAGGGACATACTCTGACTACATCTACCTTGGAAAACACTCTAAACTCATAGTGCTTATGAAATATCTGCTTTATTGCTAAACTAATTTGATGTAGCCGAAAGTCTTCATTTGTTGAATGTTGCAAGCGTGTGTCAGGCTCGTTCTAGTAAGCATAACTTTTAGGGAAGCAAATGCTTCACTGATTAAACTCTGTGCCTTTTTTAGCCCCATATACAGCATTCTTTGATTGATTGCTTTATCATATTGAAAAGCATGCCTGAAAGAGGAAATTTTTTTAAAGGATTTATTTATTTATACAAGCACTGGTTACAGTCAGAAGCACGGGAGGGTGAGAGAATTCACCAGAGACAAAGCAGAGGAGCACAACAGGCACCCAGTGGCCGGGGATCGAACCGGCGCTGCAGAGGCTGCTGGCAGCTTCGCAACCCAGCGCTCAACCTCTGCGCCACCAGGGAGGCCCGTATGAAGAACTTTTATGCTAGTTTTTTTGTTTGTTTGTTTTAAAGATTTATTTATTTTTATACAAGAGTTGGGGTACAGGCGAGAGGAGCGGGAGGTGAGAGGATTCACCAGAGACAGAGTGGGGAACAGAACAGGCAGAATGACCAAAATACACTGCTGAGGGGAGCAGCGGGTGGCAGGAGAGGTCTTTGCGCCATGTGGGACCCTCACCCTGTGACTGGGGATCAAACTGGCACTGCAGAGGCTGCGGGCAGCTTTGCAACCCAGTGCTCAACTGCTGTGCCACCGGGGAGGCCCCCCCACCATTATTTCTTTGGCAGGTTATTCTCTCATCATACATCATGCATCCTCCTTTCTTACTGTATATTTCCCACTTTTATCCACTTGCACAGATCTTTGAGACACTTCTTTA